GCTTATCCACTTATCTCCAGAAAAGCAGGATAACCTAAACAATTTTAACCTCAGTCTATGTGAAGAAAAGATTCAAGAACTCGAAACTGAAAAGTATGAGCAGCTGGAAGCTGAGTATCAGATGCTAATGCACAGAGTTAGTGCTGCAAATCTTTTATTGTCAGGAGCTGAGATAACAGTAGAGTTCGATAGGATCAAAGACCAACAAGGCCAGAGTGACAATGCCTCAGAACAAAACGTGTGGACCCCTCTTTCTGAGGAGCTATGCGATAAACAAAGCAGGCAGACTCGGAATCAGCAGGGGGTCAAACCAGTTGAAAGGAAAACAGTTCCTGAAACAGACACAAAATCTCCAAATTCTGAGTTAAAACAAAATATCTCTGAAAATAAAGATGTTCAAAGTCAAAGTAGTGCCACAGACAGAGAGAGAGAAACAACTAGATCTCTTAGTGGAGCTAAATGGTTTAAAATGTTGCAAAGTACAACTATCCAGTACAACTACTACTACTAATTTAGCAAAATCCTTTCTATAAATGGCACCATTGTTTAGCTTATGTTACATTTAGTAGACGTTTTCATTTGCTCTTTTCAGAGTTTCTATATTTATTTTCCATTTAAACTGTAAAGTTTAGTAAAATTGTTTTGTTTCCAAAATGTTGTATTAGAATGTTAGAAAGCCTTTAGTGTGGATATTCAGAGAGCAGAATATTTTAGGGTCACCAAGTCATAGAAATGGTTCGAAGATTTTCATTAGTTGAATATTTTCCAAAGCTTTGACTGTGTTTAGTATGATCAGATATAAGATAGGAGTATGATAGAAAGTTTGGGCATCTTAATGCACACCATCCACAGGTCTCTAATCTCACCAGGTTCCACATTTAGTGGACAAAAGCTGTGATGTGTGAGAACTGATGGATCCTGCTTAGCTTTAGCTGTTAGGGAACTAATCTGGAGGCTCCATCGCTCATCTGCACTCCCTCTCCTTTGTAGGAAAGCTGGTGATTGCTGACACCCCCCAAGCCATCCTGCTGCGGGCCAAGCACATTCTGATAGGAGACAGAGGAGAGCTGCACATTGGAAGTGCATCCTGTCCCTATCAGGGCAACCTGACCATCTCCTTGTTTGGAAGGTACATGTATCTAAATGAATAAGCAGCAGGTGATATGGACGCATAAACTTTAACCCAGCTGCTCTCAGTGGGTGTTCAGGGAAGGTCTTTATCTGGTGCTACACCTTCATTCTGTGCTGTTATTCAGCTGAATACGTAAAGAGTGCTTCCTGTACAAACTACAGCAGTCTGCAGATGTTCAACCTCACCATCTCTGGCTGCTGGGCTGGCTGGTGGATCAGTACGGGGTGCCAACAGGGACATTTCTCAGAATTAGCTGTATTAGCTTACTCACACAGATTAAATCAGACTCTTTCAAGCACTATACTAAAAAAACCTGAACATGCAATAGTAAAAATCCATCTCATAAACAAGTGAAAAACTGTTCATAGAAATACTCAGATGGTTTCAACTGAAAAGTATGTTTGTGTTTGTAACCTGGTTTAGTTCACGTTAGCAGTGTTTTTTAAAACACCAGAGACTTGACGTAAAAAGTGATAACGCTTTTTTTTTCATTATTTCCCTTCATGGAGCTGATTCTCTTTAGATTGGAGGCCCAATCAGGTTCAGATATGTCGCCATGCCTACTGGGTTCTGTAGGACAGTTTGTGTCCTATAAAAGACACAGATTGTTATTCCAGATTGTTTTCCAATAGATGAAGCCTGTAGGTAGATTAAGGTCCTGTTTAAGGAATTGCATTGTTTAAATATTCCTCTGAAAGCGTTTATATTCATTTCAAGTTTAAGAAATGTGGCTGCTGTTGGAGAAAGATGGATCTTGGTGGGAAAGTTTGGGTGCAAATTTTGTTTTGGCAATTTATATTTCAAATAAATGTGATTACTTCCAAAACATGACCAATCAATCAACTGTGCAATCCAGTTTAGAGAGAGAAAAATAAGTATTTCAATACCCTGCTATTTTGCAAGTTCTCCCAATTACAAATGAATCTGAAATTGTAGATGCATGTCCACTGTGAGAGACATAAACTAAACAAGAAAATGTTTATTTATATGATTCAGCTGCAAATAATTATTTCAACACCTGAGAAAATCGATGTTAACATTTGGTACAGTATCTTTTGTTTGCCGTTCCAAAGGTCATTTCCTGTAAACCCCCTTAGTTTCCTGTAGTTTTTCAGCAGGTTTGCAAACACTGTAGGAGGGATTTTGGCCCACTCCTCCTCACAGATCTTCTCTAGATCAGTCAGGTTTCTGGGCTGTTGCTGAGAATCACAGACTTTGAGCCCCCTCCAAAGATTCTCTGTTTGGTTTATGTCTAGAGACTGGCTAGGCCACGCTATAGAACCTAGATCTGCTTCTTCCAGAGCCGCTCCTGTTATCTTGGCTGTGTGCTTTGGCTCATTGTGATGCTGGAAGACCCAGCCTCCCCCCATCTTCAATGCTTTAAGTGAGGGGAGGAGGTTGTTCCCCAGAATCTGGCAATGCATGACCTCGGTCCTCCTCTCCTTAGAAAAGCACTCCCACAGCATGATGCTACAACCCCTATGCTTCACAGTAGAGATGGTGTTGTTTGGGATCCTCATCTGATCACATGACTTTCTCCCATGACTCCTCTGGATCATCCAGATGCTCATTATGTGCAAATGGGCCTTGATATGTGCTGCTTTAAGCACATATCTGTTAGTCAGAAAGATCCACAGGAATTATGCAGTAATATAATAATCTCAGATTTGCCGTTTATTAGCTCTAAGATCAAACGGCACCCATTTTTTAAAAATA